GTATAAGCAATAATAGGAAGGAACAGGGGTTTTGCTGGTTGAGATAAGGATAGCTATACAGGGCATTGACTCACATTGATTTCCTGTGCGTGGGTGTTACCTTCTAGGTTAATTCTTTTTGATCTAACCTTTTCTCTAGTTCCTGGTCCCCTTTTCCTATTGGCCTCAGTTGCTTTAAGGTATCTGCTTTAGTTTCTCTGCATTAAGGGCAACAAATGCTAGCTAGTTTTTTAGGTGTCTTACCTATCCTCACCCCTCCCTTGTGTGCTCTCGCTTTTAGCATGTGCTCATAGTCCAATCCCCTTGTTGTGTTTGCCCTTGATCTAATGTCCACATATGAGGGAGAACATACGATTTTTGGTCTTTTGAGCCAGGCTAACCTCTGATTGCTAGAACTTACTCATATCACATGCCCAGCTGGAAGAATCTGAGAAAAACAGAAGGAGGGTTGGTTTTGCGCACAGCTCTACCACTCTGCCTTGCCTCATAGGCCCCACTACAGATAATTTTTTTAACCACTCAAAACAGTAATGAGAATTTCCTTTTCTAAAGTTTCATAACATCTATTATCTTCATTATTTTTCACACTTGTCACTCACTATATTATGCATGCATTTTTCTTTTTGGTTATGTGCACCTTTTTTCTTTCCCAATAGAATATGAGGATCCTTGAAGATAGGAACTATGACATATATAATTTGTGGTCCTTCATTCATTTATTCAACATGTATTTATTGAAAGACTATTATATATAACACATGAAGAAATGTTCAACATCTCTGTCATCAGGAAATGCAAATCAGAACAACATTGAGAATCCATGTCACCCCAGTCAGTATGACTATCATCAAGAATTCAAGCAAGAACAAATGCTGGTGAGAGTGTCCATAGAAGTGTAAATTAGTGCAGCCACTATGGAAAGCAATAAGGCAGTTTCTCAAAAAATGAAAAAAGAGAACTGCCATAGGATAGGGCAATATTACTACTGGCATATATCTGAAGAAATGCAAATCAGGATATAATAGAGACACTTGCACAGTCACGTTTATTGCAGCACGATTCACAATAGTCAAGTTTTGGAATTAGCCTAGATGCCCTTCAAATGATGAAAGAATAAAGAAAATGAGGTAAATATACACAACAGAGTATATATACATACATATACACATACATATATATACATACATATACACGGAAGTATGACTGTAGTTGAGGGACTGTCAAGGGAGAAAGGGAAAGAGAGTGAGGGGGAGGAACAATGTTGAAATACATTGTGTCTATGTATGAACATGGCACAACTCACTGGAAGCTATTGAAAAATGGAGGGGGAGCAGGAAAAGAGAGTGCAATAGACGGGGTTAATCTGATCGATGTACAATACGTGCATGTGTGAAACACCATGATGTAACCCCATTGTACAATTAATACACACTAATAAAATGTATTTTAAAATAACTTAATGTTTGGTACCATGGGGAATACAAAAATTAGTAAGATATTGTCTCTGTATCTATGTTGTTATTTTCAAGTTTGATCTAGAAAGCATTGCCATAAAAAAACCCTTTAACATTATAAATTAATATATTCACATATACAACAATGCCAGGAGACTTTAAATCACTAAAAGCATGATGTTATGTAAATGAATGGAAATATCACATATTACACTTCCTATATTAATGGGCCATTACTTATCAAGAAGAGCCTTCCCTTCTATTGTGAACAAACTTAGACAAACTATACTTATTACTAAAAATACTCCAAGTTGTGTTCCCTCACCAGTTGTCATGCTTTAAGTTTAAAATTATTTGAGGAGGTTTATGATATTTTAGATAACAAAAGCCTCATACTACTGCATAATATTCTGCAAACCCATGAACATTACCCAGCACTGAGATCCAAGAAAGAGGAAATGAGCTTAAACTGAGACAAAAAAAAAAAAAACATATAAATTGCTGCAAGAAGAATATTGGTCAAATTTATGGGAGACTTTATTTAAAATGAATTAAACTTGAAATGGCTTATCACATCTTTTTTAACCCCTAGAGAATATTGAGTATGTTGCTGTAAGTGCAGATACTAAAAATCCAATGGATAAACTAAATAACCTCTGGAAAAGTCCTCCTCATCTTCCAGTCCAGGTCCTAAGGCTTAGGCTATTTTTGGTTCCTTTCTGAAAAGGCTCAGAAAGGAGCCTAAACAATGAAAGTAAAAGCAGCTCTTTATTTTTTTTTCCTCTGACTACTCCAAGATCTGTTTTTGCCACAACTTCATAAGTATTTCAATTACTTGTTCCTTCAACAATCCTGTAGAGCAGCTCTGCCCCCACCCCCTTTTTATAGATGAAGACATTGAGGTTAAGTGATTTTCTCAGGGTTACAAAGAGATATAGCAGCAATGAGAGAATGAAAACTAGCAGTTCAACCTTCTGGGGGATGAATAGATTGAGTTTCTGAGCAGCTTTGCTATTATATTGCAAAGGGGCCACTCAGAGGCCTGGCTGAATGTGTGAGTCCTGGAAATGAAAGGGAGGCTGCAAGAGCATTTTCCTTCTTATTAATGACACAGGCAATTGTCTAAAGTTGGAAAGAAAGGTTCTTTAGAGAAACAGCCTTTTAAAAACAGTACAAACAGCAGGACACTCAATTTAGGACTCTCCTTCAATGAGACTGTTGTTGTCTATCTACTTACAGACAGTGCCGCTGAGGAAGCCGGACTCCAGATTGGAGATGTGGTGCTGTCTGTCAACGGCACTGAGGTCACCAGTGTCGAGCATGCAGAAGCTGTGCACCTTGCTAGGAAAGGTAGGTGGACCAGCTACAGATTCCAGAGAGCTGCAAGATAGAGAAATTTCAAATGTGAGGAGACAGCTGCAGAAAGGGTACAGATGGTCTTTTCTCCTCAAGTATCCCTCTAATGAGTTGTCATGAGCATGACTTTTTTCAAAGGAATTAAATCACATTTCTGTCCCATACATCATTTATGTTAATGGTCAGTCACAACAGTGAAGCCACAAAATAGCAGTAAGGAAAACATACACTATTTATTACCAAACTATTTCTTTAAACTTCTTGCCTGAAAAGATATTCTAATTACAAGAATTCATTTACTATGACCCTTCCTTTCTTCCTACAGTAACTCCTTTCTCCCTTCTTTCCTTTTTCATTTTATTTCTTTCCACCAGTTCATAGAGTTAAGAGTCTCTGGGTTTTAATGTAAAAGTGTGGTGGTCCCATGATGGAACACAGCATTTATCAGCTGTGTATTTTTAGGTCCATGGGGAGATAAGGATTTGTAACATGGTACCAAAGAAAGTAAGTTGTTTTGCAGAGAGGAACATGGTATTAACCCTTCCACAGTTTAATGTGAGGGGATGCTAGGTTACTAGGGTTTATATTGTTATTCTTTCATGATGGCTCTACCTTTGTCGGAATTGCTTTAAGGGAAGGCCTCGGGTAGCCCTAGAAGAATCTTTAGAGTTGTGTTTTCTTAATTTCTCTTTCCGTCCCTCTTCTTATACCTGGCTTCCTGAAGGCTACATGCAAACTGCAGTGACTCTGAGGTATATTATTGGACAGCCAGATATTAGAAATATGCGTGTTTGGGATAGGTTACACGTGCCTAGCAGTAAGTGTCAGACACTTGCCCTTTCTCAAGTTTAGTGTTAGCAACAATCAAGGACTTCTCTAGTGGAGACTAGCATGAGAAAATCATTAAAAGATGGTGTGTCCTGATAAGTTATTCTGACTCTTTTTTGAGGAAGAATTTGAATTGGTATTTTGCTTCTTTGTAAGACTTGTACTAAGTGCACCAGAAATCCATGGACATTAACACCTAGCATGTGCAACAACTACTTATAAGTCTTACAAAAATATTTATCCTTTGTGCAATACAGCTCAGAAATGAAAGCAACATGATAATTGATTGTACCTATATAGTAGGAGACTTTTACCTATTGTTTCTGAACCTAGCTGTTCCCAGAGATAATTCTTTTATTTTTTTTAAATAAATAAACTTTTAGTAATATTTTTGCTCTTAATAAAAAACTAAATGTTTTTATAATACTGAACCCTTCCTTTTTATTCTATCAGTTAATAGAAAGCAGAGAACACCTCTAAAACTTGAATGGAGGGGATTTTGGCTTCTGACAAGATGATTAAATAATATTGATATTGGGAGAAAAGTTAGATTTAATACCTTAGCTTTTGCTGTTCCTGGGTATTTGGTAAGATGTATTTTTCTGCTTTTATAATCTAGGCTCAACCACTCCCTATGTGCCACTTTTACCCCCACCCCCAAAGAAAACCATGAACCTTATTTTTGCAAATGCTCAAACCCAACACTGGAGACACCCCAAAAGCAGAAGGTGAATTCTGCATCTGAGATGCTAAGGTAAAGACAGGAACTTTTGGGAAAAGAAGATCATTTCTTACTTGCATTTGCTAAGAGGTCAACAGTAGAAGAGGGCTTAATATCTCATATATGAAACAGATTAAAGGACAGGTTTTTTAATTGTTTTCATCCCCTACATGGCCTTGAGTGACTAATTCTGCACTCCAATACATTGAAAGCCAGAAAATGCCAGAAAAATGGCAGCACATATTATGGACAGTCAGTGAGATAAGCCAAGCAGGATTCAGGAGTTGATGCTTCCTTACGCAGATATAATCTCCTGTACATCCCAGAACTAATAGATTGTTGCAAAGCTTTTAATTGAGAAACAGAAGAGCCTATGCCAGAGGTGCAAAGAGATTCCCTGAGATTCGGGGTCATGTAATAAGGAAGTGAACAAGGCAAACATAAAGTAAATGGGCCAAGATAGCAACCCAGCAGCTTCCTGCCTTGAGTAGTAGCCTGTCACCACTACCACCATCCTCATCAGGAAGGTCACCAGCTAAGGTCTGCACTTCAAACCTTCTCCCATTGCATGTTTTCTGGGATACTTTTTAGTAATCCCAATGCAATAGGAGTTATCTAATTAAAGAAATAAGGCATCTGATGAATACAATTTCAATAAAAAGGATATTATATGGAACAATCTATAATAAGTAAAGCAAAATAAATGAATAGATCTGAGAAAACAAGCATTTAAAATAAGATAAATAGACCTCACAAAAGTGGTGAGGGATGACATTTATAGAGCATTGGAGATGGAATGGAAAAGAGATGTAAAGAAGAACCAATTGTCAACGTGAGGTCCTAAGAAGATAATTGCTGAAATAAAAAACACAGTAGGTGAGCTGAATAACAAAAGAAATACACAGGAAAGACTTATAAATGATCCTAACTATTTAGTGCAAAACTCACAGAAAAGTGTCAGAGGGGACAAAAAAAAAGAAAATGTATAAAACAGTTAATAATACAAAGGACAAAATTAGAAGAACAGATAATACTTCAGTCAAGATTGCCTAAAAGGAAAAAACACATGGAAAGAAAGCTTTTTTGAGTGACATTTCCAGAATTAATGAAAGAAAAACAGAACTCAGAAAATGTTAGAGGGGGTGAATTCAAGTATAATATACTTGATACATTGTAAGAACCTTTACAAATGCCACAATGTACCCCCACCCAACAAAACAATAAAGGAGAAAAAAAGAAAATGCTAACAGATTGCCAAATGAATGGTGGTAAAAACCCTTAAATTGGCATATCATAGTGAAATTTAAGTATATCAAAAATAAACAGAACTTTTTAAAGTTTCAGGACAGAAGAATCAAATGACCTTTAAAGAAACTAAAATCCAATAGACATCAGAATTTTCAACAGCTACACCAGATGATGGAGTAATATTTTCAAATTAGCATTGTAACTTAAATGTAATATTCAGCTACAGTATTACTTAAACATGGGTGCACAATAAAGACTTATTGGCATGCATACTTTTAGAAAAGATTGTCTAAAATACATCAAATAAAGCACTATACCAAGAAGAAATATAAATCCAAACTGGTTTTATGTAAATTATGGAAAATAAAATTTGAAGAAACAGCTTAAAGTTTCCTGTTGTCTGTTCTGTATCAACTCCTCCTCAGGAAAAACATTTTTTTATCTAACTCAGAATTTACCAAAAAGTAGTAAAACATTCAAATATAAAAGTAAGCATCAATAAAGGATGATGTCAGCAAGATGACAGAATAGGAAGCCCCAGATCTTCATCTCTTCCCACCCCTCAACCCACAAACATACTAATTTAGCAATTGTTCATAGATAAATTCCCTTTATGAGAAATCCAGAAACGAATTGAAAGGCCCCACAGCCCTAGCAAATAATAAACCAGACTCATTGAAGCCAGCACAGAGATATCTCACCAGAATTCTTTCACCCAGCACAGCCCCATATGATCAGGAACAGAACCCCTAACTACTAAGAAGAGAGAAAGGATTGGTGGGCACATTCAGCACCTCAGCTTTTCTAGTGGAGCTCTCCAAAGTACTGACGTTTGTGTTGCCAGACTTGAAGCTCTTTTGGAGAGCACAAGTGGACATTGGGCTGGTAGATACCATAATTCTTCTCCTTGCTCAGCATATGGAAAGGGGACAAAAAATCCTAGCACTCGGCTCCCTCCAGGGATGGAAACAGTGGATCTGTGTAGCCCTCCGGCTTTGCCCTGGTGCCCAAACAACTGGCAAAGTCTTTTGAGCTTTGATATGTCTGATGCATCTAAATCACAAAGGAAGAAGTTAAATTGTCCCTGTTGCAGGTGACATGATCTTATATGTAGAAAAGCTAAGAATACCAAAAGCAAACTGTTAGAGCTAATAACTGAATTCAGTAGAGTTTTAGGATACAAAAATAAACATACAAAAAGTAGTTGTTTTTCTATACAGCAACAATAAACTATGTTAAGGGGAATTTAGGGAAACAATCCTATTTGTGATAGCATTGATAAGTAATGAAACCAAAAAGATGTAAATAAACAAAATACATAATAAAACAGACAAAAAGGAAAAATATATGAGGTTTTTAGAAACAATAAAAAGCTAATTTAAACAAATATAAATTAATTTGAAAACTAGATAAAGAAGAACGTTTTCTTGAAGCATTTAAAATAACTAAATTAGTGCAAGAAGGAACAGAAAATTGTGCAGACTATAGCAGTGATATTGTCAGACTAAACAAAGAAACCACCTCACTATTTCCATCTCTACCCCATTCTCCATCCAAAAGCCTGATACCATTTTTGTAGATAATATTTATCCAGCTTTCAAAGAACAAATAATCTCTATTCTATACATTTTTTTCATAACACAGTATCCTTCTCAGCTCATTTTATAAGGTGGCTATAACCTCAATTTCAGAGCCAAATGAGTATGAAAACAAAATAATATATCCATTTTACTTATGAGAATATAGATGCACACATTCTAATAAAAATAATGGATACCTAAATCAAACTGTTCATGAAAAAACATATATATTATGTCATAATCAAGTAGAGTTTATCAAACTCTCATGTATGGTTTTCCATCAGAAAATATTTTAATGCAATTGTCACAATAATCTAAAAGGAAAATATCACATGACTCTCAATAGAAACTATTTATGTGATATGCATTTAGTCAGCACTATAAAGAAAATTTTAAAATGTTGTTTTGTGTTTGAGAAGAAAGAAAGGAGAGGAAGAAACAAAGGCAGGGAAGGCTAGAGAGGGAGATATAGAATCGATTGTAGCATAATACCATGTATATAAAATAAAAAGCCATACACAAAATACGCTAGTTACATGACTGAATCAAACACATTTTGTGAATGCCTATAGTGGAGGGAGGCAGAATGCATGAGGAGAAAATAAAGCGAAACAAAACATAATAACAAAGCAAGGGCCTTGCACTCCAAAGATATTCATGTGCAAGATCTGAGTGTTATGATCTGCTCTCTGCACTTGAGTTCAAAAGGACACACAAAAGCCTCCTGAATGGGACCCACCATATATAACTTTAGCTCCATCTACATTCTAAAATTTATAGGGAGTATTGGTGAAAGAAGGCAAAACAAAACAAAAAACAAAATAGTTTTGCAGAGAAGCAGTAGGTCTATGAGAAAATATGCATGACCATGAAACTGATTTCGATTTTTGAACATCAAATCACTTTTCACAGAATAGTGAATCCTAAATCTAGCTGTCTGTCCTGTATGCCAGACTTACCCACATCTCTTTTAAATGTGGAATTCATGGTGGTGGCCTGCACATTTGTAATTTTAATGAACTCTCCTGGGTGATTCTTTCACAACCAGCCCTGTCTGTATACAGCACAGCATCTTAGAGACATAGTCAAACAGTTATAGCCCAAAGATTAGAAGTCTGATTTGTTAACACAAGTGTTACCTTATCTCCCCAGTATATGCACCATCACAAGTAGCTATATGTTTGTTTTAATTAGGTCTCCTTTACACTCTGACTTTGGCTTTTATAGGGTAGGTTACTTACAGACTCAGCAAAGATTTAATCACTAGTGAAGAGAGTAAAGGAACACAATAAAGCTTGATCAGCCTGGAAATCTTTCACTCTATTAGGACTTCTTTGTTTCACTAAGTGCAAGCTTTACTAAAATCAACCCTGGGGTCAGGGTTCTCAGCTGCTGAGCACAGTGCAAGCCCTCGGGAACAGTACATGACTTGCACATTTCTCGCCCAAATTTATGAGGGTGGTAGAGTTTGTCTGACAGCAGAGGTGTGACTCTGACACAGTTTAAGATTGGCGACATAGTAAGAAGACAGTAAACCAAGGAGCAAGTGTGAATTAGAAAAAGAAATTATTTTTCTCTTTCCTGTAGCTGTAAATAACCTCACCACAACTTCTTACTTCCAAACCTCTAGGCCAAAGGACTAGAGAAGCGTTTACTGGATAGTTTTTGTTTTGGATGTTGTCATCAAAGAATGAATTTGCTGATGATGTGGATTTTCAAACTCTTCCATCTCATGAAACTAATAATTCTCTTGACTCTTGCATCTTAGGCTATAGACATTCACCTTCCTTTTTCCTTCATCTCACACACCCCCAAAAGCAAGCAAGATGTCCACTAGAGAAAGTCAACAGTTATTTCATTTGTCCAGAAGTAATATAGGAGCAGGGGAGGGGCAAATAGTCTTGTTGCTGAGAAATGGAGTTGAAAATAAAACCAGACGGGTGACAGTAAATCATGGTCAAGGAAAGGAAGAAATACTGTAGTTGGTGACAAAGAGTGGCTAAGTAGCACAGCCTCTTGGAAACTGAGAGATGTCTGGAGATTTGGAACACAAATTGTGGTCGGACATCACCGGAGAGTTGTTACAAATACAGACTCTCAGGCCTTATGGCAGTTCTACTGAATGAGAACATTACAGTTTAGCCTAGTACTGGATGATTTGCATTCACATTTAGATTGTGAAGCACTGAACTAAGATACTTCCTAATTTTAAACTCCAAGTAAGTTAATAAATAATAACAAAATAATGTTTTAAATATTTGTACCTTACAAATAGTTCTTCCAACACACACAGAAAAAGTACAATTATACTGACAACTATTTTTGAAGACAACATCAAAAAGCTAAAGTCTTAATGAATGTCAGGCTGAATCCCTCTGGGCCCTGACAGAACCTAGTAAAGGGTATAAAACGTCCATTGCCTGACAGCTGTTTGAAACTCAGTAACATCCCCATGCATCAGGCTCATGTCCAACCTCTGAATGTGAAAAACTTTTCTCTAATATGATGACCCCATACTGCAGCAAGGCCATCTGTATCCCTGCCCCAGAGAGCATTTTTTGTGGTACACCAAGTTATGTTTATGGCCAGGCTGAAACACAAGCTTAGCCTGATCAGTATCAAAGAAACCCACATGCAGTCTGTGTAAGCAAGAGGAAAGTGACCTCAAAGGGCATCCTACTACAGCAGTACATAAATAAATTGGCAGATGTGTCAACTATGCATATTAGTCCAGGAGTGCAGTTCTTTGGGGACTGAAGTCCAAAAACAAAGACATTTGTGGGTTGCCGGTCAATCTGGAGCATTTCTTCTAATTTTTCTGGATGTATTTTGACAGGAGCTTAAGGGCAATTCAATAAATTAAAATGTATTTACATGGCAATGAATAATTATCTTGACACACAGAGTTATTTAATTACCAAGGTGCTTTGCGTGCTGCTAAAGTTAAGATTGTGTCAGCCTTTCCGGGACAAAGCTTTATTTTCAGGGCCATGAGGCTCAGCCAGGAATGGTCCCTTGGGTTAGAGCTTGTCATTTACAGAAGAAGGGTATCCTCACTGACCCCCATTTCCATAGACAGCACTAAACAGATTGGTAATCTCAATGTCAGACATCATGATGATGTCAGCACTGCCAAGGCCAAATGTCCCCCTTCTGGGATGTGACCTCCCTCTCACAGGAATTGTAAATGAAGTCATACCCCATTTGCAGTCTTCAAAGCATGTCAGAATTACTGTCCATCTGAGTGACATTCAGAGAGTTATCATGAGGCATCAAAAGGTAGGTCGTGATAAAAGTCTATGTCCATGCTGGTAGCATCAAAGCACAGTGGATAAACAGTGACCTCATATTAACAAGGACAGGGACAATTTCCCTAAGCTATACACTATGCCAGACCTATAGGAAAGGGAAGGCCACTAGATCCATGCAGCAAAGAAGGCATTTAAGGAAAATAGGACAAGAATCTGGAAGCTCAGGGTTGAACTCTCAGCTTAAGTTGATAGAAACGAAAGTGAAAAAAAAAAGTGCCTTAGCAATTGTAGAACTCCTGTCTACTTCCAAGTTCAAGAGCTGGTAAGTGATTTTTGAATAGGAGGCAATATTGTCAACAGATATAAGTAGTGACTTAGCTCTTTCCTTTGTCTAACCCAGGTCAAGGAGGCTAATTATCTTGAATAAAACTGATGAAAAAAGCCAAGCATCACCCATTCTTTTCCTTAAGAAGTAAATTAAGATATGTTTAAAACTTTAGCTTTATATTATTATAACCAGCAAAAATGAACAAATTTGAGGGGTGCATACTTAGAATCCACATGGCCATGTAGATGAATGAAAGAGCCCTACACTAGAAGTCAGGAAACCTGGGGTCCACATCTGATTCAACAGTTTATGAGGGATGAGTCTCCAGGGGAGTCACATTACCTCTCCAGTTCTCATTTTCCTCATAGACAAGAGAGTTTGAATTACTAACGATATTGATTTATTCCAATGCTAAGATTCTATTTTATTCCATTTCTAAAAACTGCAAACATTTCCTCATCCTTTCATTCTGAATAGTTATTGTCCTTCCAGTTGATTCTAAGATTTTGAACTAGCCCAAATTCATGCTTCTAGGTCCAGACATCTTGACCCTGGTGGTGGGATCTGACATCAGCCGCTGTCCCAATACCCCTTGGCCCACCTGCCGTGGCTACCTGCATAAGAGGACTCGCTCCAGCTTTGTGAAAGGTTGGAGGAAAAGGTGGTTTGTGCTGAAGCACGATGGCTGCCTTTACTATTACAAACACAAAAAGGTAAGCTGAGGGGAGGGTGAGGGCTGACCTGGGTAAAAATAAGAAATTTTGGGAAGTATAGTCACATGGACTATGCCATGTCCCAAGTATTATCTTGTAAAGGACCATATTGAGGATTCTGGAAATATTGTTCTCTTCTATGACTTGTTGGGAAGTTTTCTTCCTTCATAAGGTCAGAGAATTAATTTATTCTCTTTCTGCAGCATAAATCAAGAGTGGCATAAATTTCTATCCCCTTTATTACTATATTCAGCTTCTCTGTGAAAAGTTTCTTATCAAAGCCAAGAAAATAAAAACCAAAGTAAATATCTAGTACCCTAGAGGAATCAAAGTGGGTCTAGAAAAACATCTCACTGGAAATACAATGCCTGTATACTGTTTACTGAGTGGCAGGACTTTAATCAAGGCTGCTGAGGCAGAAGACCAAAAATAGCCTGAAATACCATGCTGCATTTTCCAAATTTCATGAGAACAGTGATATAACAGATGAAGGCTGGAATCACCCAGGGAATATTCTCAAAATATGTAGTTGGTTCTCCTCCCAGATGTTTCTAATTTAACAGGCCCCTAGGATGGGGCCTCGGCCTGTGTAGTTGGTGAAAGCTCTTCAGGTGACTGTAATGTGCAGCTCACATTTTGTCAGCACAAGTGTTTTCCTATCCCTATGTAATCCAGTATCTAATTTTGTTAATCAGATGCAAGCATGGTAAAAACAGAGATTTCACATAGAAATCCCAGTTTCCAACCTCTCTTGAAAAATTCCCTAGCAACAGTTGGCAAGAGCTGAATAGACTCCCTCTCTTAGCCCATGTACTCTTCTATGTAACAAAGGGCCTACTGTGTCCTCTGACTTACACCCTATTGGCTTCACTCCAACCACATTTGTTTTTTTGGGTTTTTTTTCTATAGAAAACTTTTTAATAAGCAAGAAGAAATGTAAAAGATGATGAACCATTTTTTTCAATTTCATTAAATACATTGTACTTAATTTTTCAGCTGTAAGAATAAAAATTAACTAAAAATATAAACCTGCTCTGAATGAGTTCATGGTAGGCTTACAGGAAGACAATAACAGACTCACCATCTGTCAGATTTAGACTCACAAACCCAGGGCCATGGCTGCTGGTCAGCTGAAGAGATGCTGAAGGATACCCAAGGCAAGGCAGATGCCAGGGAAGCATCACAGTTATCTGTAGAGAAAATCACCTTGTGCAGGTTAGCAAGCACACTCACAGAAGTTCTCCTTCCTTCTTTTCTTCCTTCCTCTCCTTTCTTTTTAGTAACAAGCAGGAAAATGCTAGAACTTTTGTATCAAACATCAGTCTTTTAAAAAACTTTTTATAATAAATTGTTTTCATTTCTCCTTTCATTTTATCATTTTTACATTTACTTAACATATATAAACATTGTTTGTGCCACCTCCCCCACCTGCCCCGTCCCCACTTCCACGCAGAACCTGTTCTGCCCTCTTCTCCAATTTTGTTGAAGAGAGATTCCTAGAGTTGCTTCCATGCACTTGTGTATTGCAACCCACATTGGTTCGTTTCTACCAGACCTCTTCGCTACTTCCTGGTCCCCTTCTCATAGTGGCCTCTGCCAGTTTAAGACTACATTTGTTCCTTAACAGGGAGCACATCAACCACATTCATGTTTTAGGTTCCTTTCCTTTACCTATTTCTCCTGTGCGTGTTCTCCCCTTAGTGTATGACCCATGTCCAATAATATTACTGCATTTGTTTTAGGTCTATAATCTACACATGAGGGAGAACATGCGATTTTTGACCTTCTGAGCCTGGATAACTTCACTTAAGATGCTGTTCTCTAGTTCCATCCATTTACTTGAGAATGGCAAAATTTCATTCTTCTTTGTGGCTGAATAAAATTCCATTGTGTATAATAAATACCACATTTTCTTTTTTTTATTTTTTCTTTTATTCATATGTGCATACAATGTTTGGGTCATTTCTCCCCCCACTTCCCCCTTCCCCCTTCCCTCTCACCCTCCTTCCTTAACCTCCCCTCCTGCCCCCTCCTCTCCCCTCACCCCCCCTTGCTACCAGGCAGGAACTATTTTGTCCTTATTTCTAATTTTGTTGAAGAGAGAGTATTAGCAATAATAGGAAGGACCAAGGGTTTTTGCTAGTTGAGATAAGGATAGCTATACAGGGAGTTGACTCGCATTGATTTCCTGTACATGTGTTTTACCTTCTAAGTTAATTCTTCTCAAACTAACCTTTTCTCTAGTTCCTGTTCCCCTTCTCCTATTGGACTCTGTCGCTTTAAAGTATCTGCACTAGTTTCTTTGCATTGAGGGCAACAAATGTTATCTATTTTTTGGGGTGTCTTACCTATCCTCATACCTCCCTTGTGTGCTCTCGCTTTATCAATACCACATTTTCTTAATCCATTCATCAGTAGTGGGGCATCTTGGCTGTTTCCATAGCTTGGCTATTGTGAATAGTGCTGCAATAAACATAGGTGTGAAGGTGGTTTTGTAATAACTTAAGTCGCATTCCTTTGGGTCTATCCCTAGGAATGGTATTGCTGAATCATATGGCAGAGCTATGTTTAGTTTTTTTAAGAAGCCTCCATATTGTTTTCCAAAGTAGTTGTACTAGTTTACATTCCCACCAGCAGGGTATGAGGGTTACTTTTTCCCTGGCATCCTTGACAACATTTGTTGTTGGTAGTGTTCTACAGGAGTGAGGTTTTGATTTGAATTTCCTTTATCACCAGGGATGGTGAGCACTTTTTCATGTGTGTTTTGGCCATTTGGACTTCTTCCTTAGAAAAAGTTCTGTTTAGTTCAGTTGCCCACTTCTTTACTAGTTCATTGATTTTGGGGGAGTTGTTTTTTGAGCTCTCTGTATATTCTGGTTATCAATCCTTTGTCTGATGTATAGCTGGCAAATATTTTCTCCCACTCTGTGGGTGGTCTCTTCAATTTAGAGACCAATTCTTTTGTTGTGCAGAAGCTTTTTAATTTCATGTAGTCCCTTTTGCCCATCCTTTCTCTTAGTTGCTGGGCTGATGTTCTACTGAGGAAGTCCTTGCCTATACCTATAGTTTCCAAGGTATTCCTTGCTCTTTTGTTTACTAGCTTCAAGGTTTTGGGTCTGATATTAAGATCCTTAATCCACTTTGAGTTGATACTAATTCAGGGTGACAGGCATAGATCTAGTTTCAGTTTTCTGCAGCCAGATAGCCACTTTTCCCAGCAACATTTGTTGAAGAGGCTATCTTTTCTTCATCATATGTTTTTGGCACTTTTGTCAAAAATAAGGTGGACGTAGCTGTGTGGATTCATATCTGGATATTCTATTCTGTTCCACTGGTCTTCACATATGTTTTTGTGCCAGTACTATGCTCCTTTTATTGCTATGGCTCTGTAGTATAGTTTTAAATTGGGTATTGTGATACCTCCAGCCAACGCTGGATCTTTTTGCTTAGTATTGCCTTGGCCATTTGAGGTCTCTTGTGTTTTCAAATGAACTTTAGGGTAGATTTTCAATCTCTGTGATGAATGTCATTGGAATTTTGATGGGAATTGTGTTGAATATGTAGATTGCTTTTGGTAGTATAGCCATTTTTACTATATTGATTCTACCAATCCATGAGCATGGGAGATCTTTCCATATTCTGTAGTCTTCCTCAGTCTCTTTCTTCAGTAGTTTGTAGTTCTCCTTGAAGAGATCATTTATGTCCTTCATTAAATTTACTCCTAGTATTTAGGTTTTTTTGTGGCTATTTTAAATGGAATTGTTTTTCTATATTCTTTCTCAATTTGTTCATTGTCCAACCACATTTGTGACCCCCCTTTAATCGGGTTCCAAAGCAAGAGTTTTGGCTATTTATCTCCTTCATGACATGATTATTTATTTTTCTTCCATTATTTTATATTTCTCTAGTTTCATTATACATATGTCTGCATGTGTGTGTGTATGTATACATATACAGAGATATATATGGAGATATACATATATAGAGAGATATGTATTAAATCACACACACACATAAACTTAATCCCTTTATGGAACAAGTCAATAAAGAAATCCAAAGCATTAAAAAAGTGAAAAATAATTTTACATGCTGAATTATTGTGAAAACTTTCTATTTCTAGATTATGGATCAGTTATTTGTTGCACAGACCATGAAGTGCTCTGCATTTCATGACAATGTAAGCTATGAACTACTTGAAAAACTTTGTCTCCCTCCAGTGCAGGAAAATGGGATTCTCTCTAAAGAGGATGAGAAATGATAGTCGGTCTGTCCATGATTTCTGTTTTCTAAACATTAAAGTGGAACAGACCTGAAATTTCCAAACTAGGTGTATTTCAGAAGCCTCAAAGGACTTTCCCAAAGTGCACATGCAAACCATCTCCTTCACTCTTATCTCCTGAATAGCCGAGAGACAGGTCTTGGGAACTGTGGGTTCTTTTTTAAGCTTTCAAGGTAATTCTGATTTGTTACCTGAGCTTCACAACATTTATTCCCATCTTATACTCAAAGTATGAAACAACTAATATAATCTTGCCAATTGTTCTTACTTGAAATTCATATATTGAGATTATCTTTCCTGTCTTTCATTTAAAATTTTTGTTTCCTCTTGTAAAATACCAATAATAGTAAATGCTAGTGTTTCATGACCTTCTTCAGCAAAAATAAATATACTTAGCCACTCTAAGTCAAGCATCTTTTTTTTAAAGATTCCTGATCCTTGAAATTCAGAATGGTTCCTGGAGCCAATATTTTAGGTCTGGGTTTGCTAGGTTGCAGTCAAGGGCCTGGGGCTGCTTGCAGGTGTTATGGCTGGCATGCATGCTATTTTTATATTTTTTAATTAAATGCATGCAGATAAAGCATGTAATGTACCATTTGCTACAATCTTCACCACTCCTCATTTCCTTACACTCCTGTCATTTAAATTACTGCCAGGCCTAAAAGATTTGAGTATATGAATCCTGGGGCAGAACTTATATGAAAGATTAGAAGTATAGTGA